ATTCTGAAAGATTAGAACACTATGCTTAAGATGATTTAATTTACCAATCATGGTGGTGTACACCTTTGATCCCAGCCCACAGGATGCAGAGGCAGGTGGATTTCCAGACGCCAGACTGCTTCTGCACAGTGAGACTGACTCAAAGAAACTTAATACTCAGACAAATTAATACGGTAGAAAGTGGGAAACCATGAAAATGTGTGTTTACACATGCCTGTAGGTGCATGTACCTGTGGACGCCAGAGATCTGCATGGTTTCTATTGAGACAAGGTCTCTCATTTTGTCTGGAGCTTGCTCAGGTTAGGCAGGCTTGGAGAGAGCCTCTCAGATCTCAAGTTTCCACCTCTCCAGCACTGAGATTGAAGTGTGCACCCCTCCAATTTGCTTGTTTTTCAATGTGTCTTTCAGAGACAGGGTCTCTGTGTGCAGCCCTGGCTGGCCTCAAGCTCACAGACCGCCTGCCTCCACCTTCTGAGTGCTGGGATTAAAGGCTCTAAAAGGTCTCAAACACGCACGCTGCAGTGGGACCAACCCTGCCTGACTGTGCTTTACTGTCCTTCCTTCAAACTGCACCTGTAGTAAAGGTGTTCTGGATAATGAACTAGAGTGCAATGAAATGACAGAACAGGCTGTGAAGACATGAGAAAGAGGGGAACCCATCACAGACTCCAAGCAGAAGTAGCAAACATGAAATATACTTCATCTCTCCTAACCCTTTACTCAGAAGTAGAAACCCGACCGCTCTTCAAGTCTGGCAATGAGCTCCCAATTAGAGGAAATACAAAGGACAGCAGGATACACAGAACTAGGCCATATTAAAACTATGCCATGAGCACAATTCATCAAAATCCCAAACGGGGAAGCTAGAAGAGAAGGGGCCTGTTTCCTTCAGATAAATTACTTAGATGAGGAACTTAGAGATTTCAGACAGCAACTAAATATAACATACGACCCTGTTTGTATCCTTGATCAAGGTAATTGATGATTAAAAACAAGATCAATGAATAAATATAAATAAAATTTGGAAAAAATCTGAATATTGATGGGTATTTGATGATGTTAATTTTTAAAGGTAGGATAATGTGATTATGGATTTCTGAACACTATCTTTCAGGTAACTATGGATATAAAGCTGGGTTTGATCTAAAGCATTTCATAAACTGGGTGTGGTGGTGCACACCTACAGTCCCAGAGAGGCAAGAGTTCAAGGTCACCCTTGATACATAATGAGGTCCAGGAAAAGTGCAAAGCTACACAGAGAAACCCTGTCTCAAAAAAACCAAAAAATATATATATATGTATATGTATGTGTGTGTGTGTGTATATCTTTTAGACCAGGTGGTGGTGGCACAAGCCTTTAATCCCAGCACTCTGGAGACAGAGGCAGGCAGATCTGAGTTTGAGGCCAGCCTGGTCTACAGAGTGAGTTGTAGGCCGAGGCACACAGATAAAGCCTGTCCTGAAAAACCAATAATAAATAAATAAACTTCTATTTTAGAACTATATACCAAAATATTTAGATATGAAATAATTTCATCTAGGATTTGCTTCACAACAATCAATCATACACTGGGAAAAGTAGGTCGGAATAGCAATGAATCACTAGTGGCTCAGCTTCTTATGAATTAAAATTTCCATACTAAACTGAGGAGAAGGGTATAGAGGAAACAAAGATATTTCAGCTTCACCAATAAAAAGACAAGAGGGCAGAAATAGCTCTGAATTTTATCCACAAGTTTTTAAGTTGGACGGCTCTGGTGCAGTCACACTACCTCAAATGGTTAAAATGAAAATAAAACTTGTATTTGCTCCAGCTAGCAACCTGAGCCACATCCTTAACTCCACCCTGGAGTCTCCAGTCTCCAACACCTAGTCCCCTACCCAAAACCCATCTATCTGTTTTCCTCTCAAGGATTCCCACCAGGTATTCCCACCAGGTCCCACTCTGAACCCCCTTTAACCTCTTTCCATGACTTTCAACCATCTTCACAAGTATGATTCCAAACTGTTCAGTCTCTTCTTGAGTCCTTAAAATGACTAAGGCCCTCCATCAGCTGACATTTCTATTCCCTCCCTCTCTGTGCTTCAGTTTTTGGTGAAATTCTTCCAGCTTCTGCACAGCCCTCAGCACTGTCTGAAATAATGCCCTTTACCCCTGGCACCACCTATGGCTCCCGAGGTTAAGCAGTATTTCCTGAGCATCTCCTCTCACCTACACAATACAGTATTTGTTCCTATGGTAACTTCCCCTGAAACTCAGTAACTGTTTGCTGAGAGTACTTAACTATATCTGCTTTCCAGCTAGACTACAAACCCCAGGAAAGTGCTAGAATCCCATTCACTGCTGAATCCTAAATTTCTCAATTCACAACTTTCAGTTTTCCTTGCATTCAAGCTTATATTCCCCAGTCCAAAAACAGTCAAGTCGGCATTTTACAGGGACAGGTACCTTAAATGGAGTGCATACTAGGAAGTGGACTCAAGTGCAACGGGAATGAGGATTTAAGAAGTTGGGAAAATACTAATCGAACACTATTTTTTACTTGAGTTTATAGGTATCCATAATCACTCCGCCACACTCATGCCCTTAATGTGATTAGGGATTATTATGTAAATCCACAGCTAAATCTTTAAAATGCTCCTCAAAATAAGAGCTTGCATATTTAACAAGGTCACTGTAAGCTGATAAAGCAACAGTACCTACTTAAATTCACAATGAAATTACTGAAATACACTCAATTAGAAAAGTAATCCCGAGGAGAGAGATGGCTCAGTGTTAAAGAGCACTGGCTGATGTTCCAGAGGAACCGGGTTCAATTCCCAGGTCATCCCATGTCCGATCACGCCAGGATTGAAAAAAATAAATTAACTAATTAATCCTAGGATGGGTGTGGCGGGGCACGCCATTAATCTCAGCACCGGGGAGGCAGAGGCAGACTGATCTCTGCATGAGGGGCTAGTCTGGTCGACAGAGCGAATTCCAGGGCAGCCAGAGATACAGAGAAACCCTGTCTCTAACCCCCCACCTACACACACCAAAATAAATAAATCACAGTCTAAAGTCTTGGATTATTGGTCATTTCTTATGGTAACTGGAAGGTAAGGTTGTAAAACTTAGATATTTTTACTTTGTTTTGAGAAGGGTCTCACTATGGAATGCCTATGCCTACCTGTACACCTTGGATTTAATTTATGAGAGACTAAGGCCACAAAGTGAGACCCTATCCCACACACGCGTCGCTAAGGACTTGGATTTAGGAGCACCTTTTAGCAACTAACTAAAATAAGTAAGCAGATACAGTCTCTCTTGCCTTATTCAGCTGGCAGCTGAGATTAAAAAAAAAAAAATCAACCCTGCTTGACTTAGTTCCTATCCACCCTTGCCCAAACTCTGAAACACTTACTAATCTTACACGTCATCGTGTACTCATTTTGTTACAAAACCAGAATTTTTTTTTTTTTTCAATGCTGGCGATCAAATTTTGGGGCCTCCGGTATGGTACTCTACCACTGAGCTACACACCCCGAGGCTATGTTGAATAATGCCTGAAGATTTCAAAATTAGTTGTGGTTAATTAAAAAAAAAAAAAAAAGTAGCTTGTCACTGTGTAACTACTAGCAGGAGACGCCCGGTTTATAACGAGCCACTGGAAAACGGGAAAAGACTGAAGTAGTAACACGTGCGTTTCCTGGTTGAGTGATCAGAACTCGTTTTCGCAACTGCAGATTGCACCAAATACGCCACCATAAAGAAAGGCAAAAATGCACTCGGAAGAAGGATGTCCTTAGCACAGAAAGCGTGCGTCTGAACAAATGTAACGCTATTTAAGTCTCCTCTCCTGGGATGCCTTAAGACCCCCGTGCCCGCCGGCAGACGCACAGAAGCCACAGGTTGGACCACAAAGAGCCCCTAACCCGCCCCTTCCTCTGAGTTCCCTCGAACCCCGCAGGCTTGTCACGGCGGTCGGCAATGCAGCTAGCTCCTCACAGCACTCGAGCAAGCCACCAGGTGGGACACCGACTGGCAGGCGGGGGAGGCTGGGCGGGCATGCCACGAGTCCTAAATAACTCCCGCCCCAGTCCCTTCCCTCCGAGCAGAAGGCGGCAGGAGTGCACCACGTGAACCGGCCTCAGGTCGTCCCTCTTCCGATCTAAGCATCTCTCCAGGCGCCTACGGTAGACCGGGCTGGGAGCGTCTCTCACAAGGTCACCGGGCACCATGACCCGACTCCCGCAGCCCGGCGTGGCCACACCTGACCGCGGGCCCGCGCCGCGCGGTCCGGCCGGGCGAGACGCTGTACCCAGCACCTTAAGGTCCCCTTCACCCACGCCACGCCACGTTCCGGGACCATGCGGCTCCGCGCGCCCAGGATGCCCTCTGCCGGGCCGCC